GGAGGTCCTCGGACATGCGGCATGTCCGTGCGGAGAAAGAGAAGGTTTACGAGAAATGCGGCCACCGCAACACACGCGGTGGCCGAGACCAAACCAAACCAAAGATTAATGTACTACACTTACTGGGGCAATTTGCGCCAAGTGTCGGCTGTAGAACTGGGTATACCTCGAGTTCTGGAGGTAGATTTGTTCCACGAGCATCCGCGCGGGAAGGGAGATCCCCTCTCGTCTCTCTTCCCATCTACGAAAAGTAACTCGAAAGGAAAGTTTCGAATCTGTGAGAAAAAAATGGAAGGAAATGATAAAACTTTTTGTAAGAACTTGCAAATTTCGCTGTAATGAATGCAACACACAATTGAGCCGAACTTTATCGCCGGTGATCTGCTCTTGTCAAATTACTTAGCGTTTCCTTTTAGGTCCGGCTGTAAATCGAAAATTCGATCCGGAGTAATCCGCCAATTAACATCCGCCAGATAAATGAATAATCACCGTCGCGGTGCGCATCTAGTTTCTGCTCTGGCGTATCAGGCGAAGGGGGGGTGGGCAGGATATAAGCAAATTAAATATGCATAATTAAAACGAAATAGCGACGGGTGAAACGTCGCTCGTGCGGTTCTGGCTGGCTCGAATCAGTGGGAAGAGGACTTAAGGCAAGGAACATTCTCGTAGCAACATCTGGCCGCTATGAAGTATAAAGAGGCATGCGATATCATCCGCAGTGAATGCTTAATTAAAACCTCAGACTCCTCAGCCACGGAGTTCCCCTTAGTCGTGCGCTAATCGCAAGAACCGTCGTTGCTGTTCAACACAAACCACCTCACCTTTACGTACGGGTATCTCTCTGCGGTGACAATCTCTTCCTTCGCTTCCTTCGCCTCACGAATGAATTTTATTCCTTAACAATATCGTAAATATGCCGCAATATTAATTTTATTATGTGACAACACGATCGTGCAAAGTTATCAGAGATATTTAAATGCGAAAGCTAGGAAAATTATTATTTTTAAATTATTATTGTTTTCTAAGTCACATGTAAAACATATGCAAGTTCGATGTCCGATCTGATCTTAATAACTTTGTCAAACTGAATTTTACTATCGAACAAATACGCTCTCCCCTCTTTTCTATTTTAAAAAATTTAATTTTTATAATTATTTCTTTAATTATAAATTTTATCGTATTACAATCAACTAACAATTTGAAGAATCTTTGTACAAAGCAATTTAGTAAATGACAGGAAAGACGAATTTTATAAGAAGCGGTAGTGAAAGTAGACGCGTCATAGCATTTCCGGTGGCCGTCCAGAGTGGGATGAGAGAAAATTTCACTTGGACCGTCTAACGAGTTCGCTTTTACCCCAGACGACGGGGAAGAAAAAGTTGGGAAAAGGGTCGGTGGGGAGTAGAGTTTTAGATACGAAAAGCGAGCCTCTCCAGTGGAGCAAGGGCGCCAAAGACCGTTTCAGTGAAGCGGGAGATTGACAGGTCGAACCCCACTCGTAGACTCGTGCCGGTTGCCATGCTAAAATGGTGATGAAAGATGGTTCACTTTTAATGGCGCCACTTCTATAGTGTACTTCTTTGAACTAATAATAACAACTCGACGAAACGATGAAACCATAACCTGGTCAATGTCAAGTGTAGTTTCCGGATCTTTTATAAAATGTGTGTTAGAGCTAAATTTTTATGTATAACGCAACAAAGATGCTTTATCATGATATTTAATTTATGTAATTCTCATTACGACGTATATTAAATCATAACGATGAATATTCAAATTATTATGTAAAGACGCAGTCGGTGAGAGATAGATATGCGTTTTTCGTGCCACCCGATAGCGCATACATCATCACGTCGTCGTGGGAGAAACAGGCAGCGTCAATATATATGCAAACGCCGATATAACGATCTATCGGTACGTAAATATACAAAGCACGAGGACGAACGTGGGAGAAAAAAGTGACGACGCAAAAAAAAAAACCGGAAAAAAGAGAAAGAGAAAAAGAGAGAGAGAGAGAGACAGAGCGAGAGAGAAGGAAAAAGAGAAAGAGATGTGGAGGCGCGCAATATAAAAGAGAGAAAGAAGAAAAACTCTATTCCTTAATATAAAACTTCATTTCGCAATCGGCAGCAGCCGGAGGAGAAACGCGAAGATCCAACACACGCAGAAATTCCGCGGTCGTCACAAAAAAGGGAGAAACCACGGGAGAATCTTATTTTTCCGGCATTAAGCTTTTAGCGCATTGCCCTAAATAAGACAACTTTTTGTTCGCGACCAAGTTGTGCGCGTCATATATTTCACGAACAAAAAAAAAAAAAAAAGAATCTGGTTGACAAGTTTTTAAATATTCTGAAGTATTAAAAAGTACAATAATACATTATTTCTCAAGATATATTTCAAAAGATATATATTTATAAAAACAAATGTAGATCAAAATGTTAAAAGTTATTGCCGCACAATTCTTCGTTATCGAGAAATTGCACTTTACAGAGAGCAAAGAGGGTAAAATAAAGAATCGCCGAAGAAAGATAGCGCGGTCTCTTTTATCGCGCGAAACGCTTCTCCAACTGTGTCGATCAGAAGAGAGAAAGAGAGAGAGAGAGAGAGAGAGAGAGAGAGAGAGAGAAAAAAAAGCGCGTACCTCTTTTTTTCGCTACTTCTCTTTTCGAACTTTTCGTTCGTATATTTCGGGCCTTTCTTCCTATATGTTTTCGGGGTGCGTTTCGAAAGGAGGGGTCGGGCTGAACATCGGTGGCGCGAGCGAGGCGCGCGCGCGATGAAACTTTTAATAAATGGCAGAGTCGATATGAAGTATAGGACTTTGACATATCGTGTGTCAGTAATGTATAGTTAAATCTGGTGGCAGATGTGGAGGGTGTTCTCCATTCTCTCGTTTCTCTTTCTCTCTTTCTCTCTCTTCGATATCCTACCGCTCGCTCGACCTCTTTTACTCCTTCCGCCTTCGCTTCCTCTCGTGGCTATCCGCGCTCGCTTTGCGCTTCGGAATGGTTGGCACCCTCGCCGCCCCGCGGAAATTTCCTTCTAACCCACTGACGCAATTGAATATATTATTAATAAGCGCGCGTGCGCAAATTCTTGGAGAGAAAAGAGGCATAGAAATTAAAATAATGTGTTAAATTAAATATTAAGAGATTTTAATTAATTCAGCTTTTTTCAGTAGTTTCTTTTATTATTTATTGTATCAATTTGATTTTTAAACATATTTGTTATTTAAATATTTATTTAAGTTTTGTATTTTATTCTCTTTTTTATTATTAAAGTTGCAAGATGATTCGCACATAAAAATTTACGTTAATATATATTAGTAACATTTATATTTTTCTCATTTATATTCTTTCTGCGTGTTACAACGTGATACGTTGAGAAGTTGTATTTTATTTTAACATTGTAACGTCGTATAAGTTACGTTAGATTTGATATTCTCACGCTAAAAGGGATCGATTGTAAACGATTTGCGGATCGCTCGATGAGGGTAGAGGAACAAATTTTTTTTTCTTCGGAAGCGACAGTGAACTTCTCAATCAAACTGCCTGTCTAAATGAAAGCTCCTCTACAAAGCGGATCAGGGTAATCTGTCATCAAAACTGCTCCGCAGCGAGCCGCCGCAATAGTAATCAGCGCTCCCAGCAACTCTAACCGTTGTGTGTGTCAGGGAACAACACCGCTGTACGTTCAATTCACGATCACTTTAGTTCACATTTGTGTAATAATCCCATACTTATTTGCAGTCTTGATATAAATATAAAACTTTATATTTTATCGCATAAATAAGTTATAATTAATGTATTTAAAAATTTTCTTGCACCATCGAATAATTGCGCTACTGCGCACGTAGTTACAAATAAATAATTAAATAAACATTTTCTTAATACTAGTAAGTATATATCTGTAGAAATGTAATAAAAAGAGAAGCACAGATATAATCAGATATTTAATCTGAATAATTTTTTGAAATAATTAAACATTGTGCTCGCCAAACATTTTATTGTTATTACACGATAATGCAAAAAAATATTACCAAGTCAGATTGTAGACAAATCCGATTGTACGGGCGCGATCCAAAACACGTCAATGTTTGGTTGAAAAACTTGTTTTGACTTTCGCGATTTCAACAACAAATTTAAAGTGTATTATTCGACAGTTAATAAATACGTAATACTACGGTCTCGTACCTTGATCTGGACACTGATCCGTCGAAGGTGGAGGACCGCGTGGTCGAGCACGTGAGAAATTTCCCCACCACTTAGCGCAGCGCCGAACGACGCGCTCGCGCGTACCGCCCACAGTCGCGTCGGGTAACCGTAGCCGCCCAAACGGGCCTCGTGCTTGTCGGCACGAGAGTCGCCCGCTTGCACTCTCACGGCACGGATCTAGTCGTGTTGTACCCTGCTGGCTGTGTGCCCTCCGAGCCCTCCAAGGCCACCGTCGCCACGACAGGCCAGCCCGCCTACGTCGGCGGAGGGCCGTACCTCACCGCTCGCGTTACCGCTTCACGATTGGTCGCTCCATTCCGGCGAGCGTAGTCACGTGACGGGGCCGCTGCCACATTAAAGGACGACTTCCACCTCGGTGCCCGAAGTGGACTCCCAGCACACCCCCTCCCGGAACGAGGAAAGAGACAGCAGTAACAACAGAGACACCGGGAACACCGGAGAGGCGAAAAAGATCCGTGGAAATTTCGGTCCCGGTGACTGGAGACGACCGTCTCTTTCTACGGGACGTCCTTCGCCTCTCCTACCGTGGAACTTCTCGGTCGGCAAGTACCTCCACCACGGACTCCTCGCGGACCCCCACCTTCTCGTTGGTCGCTATCTCTGCGTCCTCTCTCACTCCTCCGTCACTTAGAGAGTACACTGCGATCGGTGACTGCTTAGCGTACCCCTTAGCCTGTTTGCCCTGGTGGGTTTCGGCCGATCGGTACACGGCAGCGCGCGGTACGCGCGATTCGGCACGGCGTTTCTCGTCGATCGGCCGGACTATCGATCAAATCGGTCGTGACTACGTGTGACAGTGGTGATCTGTGCTTTGGTTGTTTCCCACATCAAAAAATTGCGGATCTGTCAAATAGGATCTAGTTGCTCCGAAACATATGTCGAGTAAGCAGTGTCATGTTCGTATAGCGTGGCTCGAGAATCCGTTTTCTGTTGGTACCGGGTTTGATATTGTTGTAAGACGAAAGTTGTTCTAGTTAATTCAAGTTAAATATAAAAATGAGTATGAATATGCAACTTGCGATCATGTACCATAGTGGATACCGTAGTGTGTGGTGAATACGCGAGAAGTAAACAGTTGCAGTTGATTATAATCCATTGGACGTCGCAATGGTGTGCGTCTAAATTGCGCTTTTGAGCTTGTATTTAAGTAAGTAACAAGTGAAAAAAAGATTGCGTAACAGCAAAAAGTGAAACGTTAAAATACATAGAGTTTTATTTCTCGCAAAAATTGACTAAACAACATTATGTAAAAAGAAAAGAAAATAAGCGATATGGTTTCTTTGGGCCTCTTGGAATCAAATTTTGACGTAGAAAGAAGTCCTGATAGTACACACGCAATGTAACTTTTAAATGTGCGTTTGCAATATATTAAATATTTTAAAATTTATCATGTAATCAAAGAGAAACAAGTAAGTAGTAAGTAAGTTATATGTCGAATGAAAATTAAGTGAACAAGTGTGTTTTGCAGCACGGTTATTTACGTGTTATACCAAAAACAAACATTGAGAAAAACACAAAAAAAAACGAATAATTTCCTATGATCGCTTTTAAAAAGTCGACAATAAATTTTTTCCTTATTACACCGGTCATTAAAGAACGGAAACAAACCGCAGCTGCGAGTTCGTGCATTGTTCCATGCGTAGTAAGCAACAAGCGTTAATACACCTTGAAGAGAACGTGCACCAATCGCAATTATCTAGGTCCGGCGCTCTGCTCGGCAACCATCTTCAGAAGTTGGTCCACGCGAGCAAAGAGCTATCGACTGTGAAGACGAGGCCGACAACACCCGTCCTGGCGAACGACGGAGGGGGCGGCTTCTGGCTGGCCACGGTGGCCGCGGGGGCGAGTACCCCAGCCGGGCTGCCCCCGCACGGGACCCATCATCCAGCCATGGATCCAACATGCGGATCCGCCGAAACTGGCTTTATCAACACCCAACCGTCCATGGCCGAATTTATGACGGCGTTGCCGCAATTAGCCGGGGACAGCAGCCTACAACACTCACCGGGAACCGGTGGGTCCATCAGTCCCGGTGGTCATCATCCCGCATACCACACCATGATGGATCCCCACAGTGTCGCTGACCCCTCAGGTGTCAATGTTCCTGAATATCCCTGGATGAAAGAGAAGAAGACCACCAGAAAAAGTAATCAGCAAGGTAAGTTACGAAAGATATCAGTTCGGTTTTCTTTAAATCAAACGATTTTGACATTGTAAACAACTAGTTCTGGAAAGAGAAGTTAGCACATTTATTGTTTATCATAATATTTCAAAATAACGCAGCAATCTTGCTTTAGAAAATTAATAATTAATAGTCAGAAATCGAAATATCTAACTTTTATCTGTAAAACAAAATTAAATTATAATTAAAAAAATTAAATTCTAATAAATTAATAAAACATACATGAGAAAAACTTGTGTACAAAATTGTGAACGTTTTCTGACATTCGTGAACGTGACAAATAAGTCTATTACCACGCACAATCCGATTTAGATTGTCATATTGAGATTTATGATAAACGATTAGGAATTTGTTAGGGATTTCGAAGTGACAAACGTAAAAGTCAATTAACAGCGGCAGTTAGGATTCGGCGCGCCGTTTATAGCGTTAGAGTCTATTGGCTTCTCACCGCTACATTGTGGTTCACCATAGGGTGCCTACTCCTCCGACGGCTAATGACAGTACTGAAAGCTTCCTTTCATTTTGCAGTAGCACATCTGTGATGTACAATGTGTTGAGATAACATGTTTTCAACAAATGATTTATACAAAGTATTATATTCTATTCTTTGTTATAAACAATAGTATTTCGATATTTTTTTTTAGAACGGAAACCTAAATAAACACAGAACAGCGTTGAGAAAGATTCTTTATGCTTGTTTCTCAGAAACAAAATGTCTGTTTCAAATTTACTAAATATCTATTAAATATTACTAAATATTTTTTGCATAATTAACATATAATTCTTTATATTATTATATTAAACGCACAAAAAAGTACAAAATCGATACTTTGTAACTTTGCGTAATTTGTTGTCGCATATTTGCGTACATAAATAATTTTGCATATATTTGAAGTACTGCTGAAGTTTTGTGCGAAATTAACCTCGCTTTGTTAAGTCTTACTTTGTTCAAGTCCGCGGACTAATGGTTTTTCGAACAACTTGTTGGCTATTACGAAGCTATCGAGGACTGTGAAATTTATGGAGAGGTCCGTGGCACGAATTTATTGGTCCTCGATAACCTTATAATGGCCAACAAGTTGTTGGGTAAACCAGTGTCCGCAGGTATTTTTCCTGCGATTCAATGTAGCGAAACTAAACTCTTGGAAATTAGGGAAACTTCTAATTGATTTATTATATTTTTTTTGTACTCCATGGGACGCATACGTAACAGGCACATAATCGACGAAAGTAGAGCCAATTCTTTAGTATATTTTCGTAGAATTTATTTTATATGTGTGGTATTTACGTGTGTGTGTGTGTGTGGGAATAGTTTGGCATGTCATGCCTCATCAAAGATCAACATCGGATGTCACTAAAATCGCAAAAAAAAACACTGGACATTTTTTGAAAGCGGTCTTTTTATAATATTCGGGTCTTGTTGTCTATCTCTCTTTCTCACGTCGGCTTTGCACCTACAACAGCGATTTAAACGTCGCGTCCGACTCGAAAACGTGGTCGGATCGTCCGTAGGACACGTCGGAAGATTAAGTGTTTGGCACGGAGGTTAACCAGCCGCTGGCCAGGCGGTAACACGCGGAATCATCTGTAAATTGAGCCCTGGACTAGCGGGAGAGAGCGTCGGGACGGCCATAACTCACATGGGGTGCCGCCACCGACGCCTCGTACACGTCGGCTCTTTACTTTCAACTACCGTGTTATCCCTTATCATGCGCGCTTTCCCGGTTGGTCATCTCTTTATGATTTGCGAGCCTATATAGCACCTCTTTATAATTATATTCTTGACGTTGAACTCGAATATAAAAGTCGCATTTACAAATTTAATTTTTTAATTTAAATAAATATGTAATTTAAAAAATATTTTTACATCTCACAGTAGGTAGAGCAAAATGAAATTAATGGAATATTTTTATTCGCGTGAATATTATTTTAAGCAGATTAATTTATATTATTTTTTGTCAAAGAAATTACATATTATATCTCTTCTTTAGATAATTTATCCGTTTAGAAGTCAATAAATTACAACCGGTGTTAAATTAATTATTCCTTATTACGAGTTTGATGTCGAATTATCCAATTTCCAACTGAACGACGTTATCTCGTTACGAGAATGGGTGGATTTCTACGAAACCTTAAGTAACATCTTGTCTTTCCGTATGTGTCACCATGCTGCTCGTATTAAATTTCAATCTGTTACATCTACGTGCCCTCCAGTCGAAAGGATGTTTTAGTTCGGGAACGACGTAGAGATAGGAACGATGAAGGAAGACGAGGTCTCTGATTAGTTGAGTTATTTGCCAGGAGAAGAGGCGCGACCGACGTTCCATGCTTCGTCGGTAATTCTTGCTGGATACCTTTTCTACAAAAAAGCCACGAAATCTACGAGTGTTTTTCCCGACGCCTTGTTCCAGGCGTCTCATCAGTCACGTCAGTGGATGCCAAAGCAGAGGCGTCAGCCCAGCAGACTCCTCCAAGACGCCGATGTGTCAATTAATCCCTGCATCCCTCGGGATAGGACTAGGCTAGAAGCTGGATTATCATCATCCTCGTTGCTATCTTCTGCCCCTTCCATCCCTTCCGTCTTACACCCTCCTGCGGGACAGCCATTTTCGTGGCCGAGCTGCTTCTTACTAACTACGCCGAGCTGCGTTTCCGCCATTAATTAATATAGCTGTGATACGTAATGTGCCGCGCTAATAGTTTAACTCTTGATGCGCTTGTAAATTTGTTAAACGCAATTGTTGCACGGCCCTTCGAAATACGTGCGAAATAAAACAGTAGGTTTTGTAAAAGCGAGAAATTTTCAAATGCCCACGGCAAAAGACACAAATATCGCGACGAGAAAGTAGCGAAGCTGAGGGGCGTAAAAGGCTCGATAACGAAAGAAGGGTGGAAGGAATTGACTATACTCGGCGATTCCATGATATAGGTGATTGAGCGAGCGGGACTTTACCCTCCGAGAAGGAGCGCAGTACGAAAAGGAACGGAGCATCTAATTTAAAGATTCATTGGCGAGTAAATCCTCGCTGAATTAGAGATAACTCTCCTAGAAAATCCCAGCTACTATGATACTCCGCAGTTCGCTGTCGCTGCGGTTGCCCGTGAAGAAAGAGGAGAAGAGTCTTAAGACGACGATATCCGCGAAAACGAATTCAATGTACGATAACGTACACGTTGAAATTTCTTTTCCAATATCCGCTGATATAAATACACGATCTCATTAGTTTATTTAAAAATCTTCTTTGGCGTTTATAATGCGAATATAATGCGAATGTTATAATCACATTATAATTTTTTGTCTATGAAAGTGTTTTATTTTAAATCCACAGATTAAAGGTTAAGATTTGTCTAAGCGACAACAATATTCGCGGCATTAATTTTAAATTAATCGATTATTAGGACGATTGTGATTGCAAATATTTGAGGGAACATGGCAAAGAAAAAACGCCGTTTTCTATACATATGTGTATGCGTGTACATTTTCTCAGTTCGTTGGTGTATAAACACATCTGGAGAAGTAACGTCGCATAAAATATTCCGGATTATCCCCCCAAATCTAGCAAGTATACGCGACGCTTTGCAGCTGCAGGGAGTTTTCAGCGTGGCAAGATGTGCGGGTGGTTCGCCGAGAGATCAAATAATAAACACGGTATAACAAATTGATAATCTGAAACCCCATAATCGTACGCGTGTTTTGGCCCGGAATCCGGTAGTCCGACACTAAAAGAAGTTTCCACGCTCGTTGTTACGCCAAATGGGCCGCTATAAAAGCGTGGGGTTCGGTACTACCGTGTTTGTCTCTCTCTCTATTTCCTTTCCTCCCGTTGTTCTCTCTCGATCCCTGTAACAGTAAGACTACCGCGTCGAAGTAGATCGCACGATTTTGGAAGGATCGAAAAAACAATGTCTGATATATATGCTACTAATATTTTTCAACCTTTATCTATTATTGATATTATAATAAAATCGAAATTGCGTGAAAGAGACACGCAAATAGAACATCCAGTTCGGAAGAGCATTACACGAACCCCATCGTATTTCTATGACGTGTTATAAAGAAAATGAAACAACCACGATTTTCTACGAAGGATAATAATTTTATGCAAATGTTCGAAGGTGAAGCTCTGGGAATGGCGACGATATTGTTCAGATAGACATCGCGCTCGCCACGCTCTTCGTATCTTCCCCTTTTCTAGCGGGAGAATAAAAGACATTGAGGGTTTCTCATATCTGTTATTCTGCACTCGTAAAAGAAAAGTAGGTGTAAAAATTTGCAAAGGAACGACAACATACGCCAGAGGGTTAACCATAAATAATAATCATAAAAGCAAAAACCGCCGCGTCTTGCTTAAAAATATATTAAAACAAGCTGTTGGCACGTTGCTATTTCGATCGTACGTGCAGTTTGACGTACAGTAATGTAAAAAACGTTGTTCCAGCTCGCATTTTTAATCATACGTGTTAATTGAGAGTGCGCTTTCACTAAATTTCCCTGATCTCTCTCTGCTTAGTTTCCACGTTTTTTCTTTCCTTTCACTCTTATCTGCATTTCTTTCAACTTTTCAATTCAATCGAGTAATGATTTTCTCTACTGGTAAAATACGAATAGAGAAATGTGTTTGTATTTTATTAATAGAGAAATGTAGATAATTATTTTAAAGAGCACGATAGAAATTTCTATTAAACATTTCTAGAAAGGAAATTCTTCAAAAATTGAAGAACTTGAGCCGTGGAACACAGAAAGCGATTAAGGGTGGTTAGGAGGCGATGAGAGTTATGATGGATGGTGACATGGACATGTCACGTGCTTTGCGTGACAATAAAACCGAAAAATAATTATCCACATATATATCCTCACGTAGCAATTTTTCGAAATTTAATGCAATTTTGCGGAAATTTTTTGTATAAAATTATTACAAATGTTTCTACGCGCTTTGTCGATGAAAAAACAATTCAAAATTGTTGGTATAACTTTG